TTTTGCAACAAATAAATTATGGAAAAAAAAAATTTTGTTGGAATTTTTTTAAATTATAAAAATAATTAACAGACATCTTATAATTTTTTTTATTGAAAAAATTATTTAAAAAAAAATTTTACATTTAAAAAATTATGAAAATTAATTTATTAGATATTTAATAATTTTTGTAATAAATAAATTATAGCAAAAAAAAAAAAAAAAAAAAAAATGAAAAAGAAATTTTAAAAAATTAAAAATGCAATTTTTAAATATTTTTTTTTTAACAAATTTATTAAAAAAAAAAATTCAAAAATAGTCAAGTGACAGCTAAATTAAATATCATAAGATAATTTTGATAACTAAAAATATTTTTTTAATTCTAATTAAATAATTAAAAATTTTTTTTTAATGTTTGTTAATTTTAGTGATAAAAATTTTATTCTAAAATTATTTTTGGAGCACTAATTAATTTTTTAAAACCAAATTGCTGATTTTAGCTGTCATAAAATTTTCCCCGACCACAAAAATGATTTCTGTCAATTTAAAATTTCGCAATGCATCAATATAAAGCAGACAGAATGAGTAAGAGGCAATTTCTTCGAATATAGACTGTAAATAATTGTTGCGGTAATTCGGTTTGGTGAATAGCTTATCACAAAGGAAACACGAGTACAGCGGAGGCGTCAGCAATAAAACTGACACTTGGTAATGAATCTTTTGAGGCGCTCAACCAACAACCAACAACCAACAACCGACAACCTCCGTCTAACCACCAACCAACCGAATAAAAGATTAAGTTAATGGCTTTCTTTGTTATAATTTACGCGAAAATTAAACTAGACGTACCTGCTAGCGTATCGTTAGTCCCAACAACGTAATCCACAAGGTAGGGTAAAAGAGCAGCACCAAATCTCACCACCGTCGTTAAATTCCCCATTTTTTCGTCCACATTATTGTCAATTTTTGTTTTCGGCTTTCAACACCACAGACAAGAGACACGTATTTTAATTCAAACGCTGGCACATGTTGATTGTTTGATAAGACAGCAGTCTCTTCAGTCACACGAGAACTCTTTTCTTAGATAATACGGTACAACCTTACGGCACGGCGAGCTAAAGAATACTGGAAAAATGTCGGCGTGCATTTTTTAACAAGGGGAACGACGCTCTCCAGTCCGTCTTGTTGGTGGGAATAAGCGCCAATCAGATTTGAAGGATTTATGGCGGGTAATTTAAATATTTTAAATAATTTATTTATTAATTAAAATCAGCTTATTTTTTTTTGTTTTTATTACAAATAAATTAATGGAAATTAATTGTGACATTAATTAACAGTCATTAAAGAATTTTTTTAAACAAAAAAATTTGTCCCAAAAAATTAATTTAAAAAAATTGACATGTAGAAATTTTAAAAAATTTAAAATTCAATTTTGAACAAATTTTTTTTTTAAATAAAAAATTATGAAGTGACAGCTTAATTTAATATCATAAAAATTAAAAATTAAAAAAAATTATTTTTTAATTGTAATTTTTAAAAAAGTTCAAGAAATTGATTTTTTTTTTTTTCAAGATAATTTTAAAAATAAAAATACCCAAATATTTTTTTATCGTAATTTATTAGTCATTATATTTTATATTACACAAATATGTATACTTAATGGTACTTGTATCAATTTCCAGTGACAATCCTTAAGAAAGAAAGGATGTACATATAATTAGACGGCAAAAAATTGATATTATTTAGTCGTATTCTTTTTTTTTGCGTTTTCCTTTTAATTAATAACAAGAATCTATCAAAACCAGGTCACAAAAATGCGTATTTCTAAAAGTATACAAATAATACACTGAAATAAATTGAATCGAATAGAAAATTGAGTAATTACAGTGATTAATCGCAGAAGTAAAAATATCTACCAATTTTTATAGAAACAATATTCTTTTGTATTAATAATAATATAAGTAATCTATTGAAAGGGCCTACCGATCACTTTAACCATCAGACTTGTCCTACAATTCGACATTTTATGTTACAATTTATATTTATAGTCAGTAATAATAGTAATTACTTTACTTGAATCATTACCTGGTTCCTAATTAAGAGTTTTTACAAATTTCAATAGGCTCTGCGATAACTAGATTCACATGAGTTCTCATCGAGTTTTTATTTAAGTAAATCTCTGTTACTAATTACTCTGTTTTTTTTTTTTTTTTAATTATTCAATAATTCATTCACTTTTTTTGTTATTTTATTTTTTTGCCACACATTTGCACACTACACACTTGCACACACAATTTTAATAGTCAATCAAGAGCTCGAAAACTGTGCGTACAAAAAGCACTCGATAAATTTAAGTTTGTTCACTTTCACAATTATCTATACAGACTAGGATCGGATATAATTCATAAACGTGTTCCCAGAAAATAAAATTTCTTACATGCAATTAATTTATTTATTTTAAATTACTCTCATGCTTTGATATACATTTTTTGAGTTTACTTCTCGAGTTAATTTTTTTTTTAATTAAACTGCTCGCTGTACGCAAAGTCACAGGCATAAATTCATTTTATTTTTAGTCATTTAATCATCGTATCACAATCAATATTACACCTCAAATCATTCTCATTCAAATTAATAAACTCATTATTATTTTTGATACACAATTGTAGAATATAAGCGTCATTTTAAAGGTGTAGTCTTATTAAATTTAAGCGTTACAATTTATTTCATTTTTAATAAATCATCCAGACTACATTAATTAATTGTCTTATTATGAATTCATGATCAATGTTATCCTAAAAAAAAAATTATGCTGCATCATTATTATTAATTAATTAATATCCATTGTTTTCTTATTTTATTATCATTATTTATTTTATCTTTTTTTTTTTTGTATTTTCGTATTTATTTTTTTTTTGCGAAATTATTGTTTTAAGTTGTCGCATTACTTATCATCATTCACACGATTTTAATTCCGTCTCAGCAATAAATCCACGCTATTTAAACTAAATTATTTACAAATGATCTTATCTTTTGCATTCTTTGTTATTAATAATGAATCTTCGTTGCTAAACGCTATTATAATATAATTAAAATTAATAATCATTTATGAGCTCGAAAAAAAAAAAAAAAATTCTTTACTTTTACTAAGTGTACATATTGATACATACATACATTGTTATATTTATGTATATTTATATTTTTCCCTACATGATAAATGCTATTTACAATATGGTCTATATGTATATCGTTACCTTTATACAAATTTCTCACGGAAAAAAATTAAAATAAATTTTTAATCGCTTTACAACGCGAATTATTTATTAATTTAAAAATAAAACTTGTATTATATTTTTAGTATCGCTTATACTATTCTGTAATTTATTTTTAGTAGTAATTAATAATACCAACAGTAACAATGATATTGATAATTTACAATTTTTATGTGATGATTTATTTTGAAAGCGATTAATTCATTTCTATTTCAATAATAGTATCTAATAAGACAATTAATTATTATCTTTAGATAAAAATTTATCAATCAAAATAAATTATTTTTTATCGCTCACTTGCATTAAAAAAAAAAAAAATCAATGAAGTAATTAATTAAAGTGCCATAAATTTGTACAATAAATCAATTGTAAAGATTTACAAATTATTTGTTAGAGTAAAATATAAAAAAAAAAAATCACTTCCTTTGTAAGTAAATATAAACAAAAGTAATAATTGATAGTATTTTTTTTTTTTTTTTTTTTCAATTAAAAATTGTTCCGATATTTCAATAGTGAAATAAAAAAATTAAATGATAATTAATCGATTGATTGATTATTATAAAAAAAATTAAAGTGTTTTGTATAATTTAGAATAAATAATAGAATATTTGTTGAAAAAAAATCAATTAATTAGAAATGTCTCTCTATCCTAGACTTGTCTTTTGAACTTTGTTACATTAATATTTACAATGAAGTCGGACAAAATCATACGTCATTGACTGTAAAATGAAGTTACGCTACTGAATTATTCTTATAATTGTTATAACTATTATAATAATTATTATTACCGTCATTATTAATATTATAATTATTTTGTATTGTTTATACAAGAGTACGTTGATTGTTGTTGACGTTAGTAACAAAACGCCTGGTTCGCCGTGTCCGAGAAGGCTGTGATGAAGGCTTTTGTACAAAAGCTGCTCTACAATCGCTGCACTAAAATAAAAAGGACGACATTCGCATATTAATTTTGTTTTTTCTATTTGTAATTAGTTTTTCATATTTTTTTTTTTTTTTTGTATTGTTTTGTTTTAAATATTAAATCGAAAAAGGCCACGGTTCAAGGCCACGGGCCAAGAAAGTCAATTAAATCCAGTCAACGAAGAGCCCATTTACATAATCGTCAATTCTTCGTAACAAATGTCTTGCTTGTATGCTCGAACACTGCGATTAAATAGTCCACTCATTCAAGAGACTTCATCGTCTCGTAAAACCGTTTTACACACTTATTATCATTATTATAATAACTATCAATATTTTTGCTTATGGTACACATCATTTTACATATATCAAATCATCCATTAGTCCCTAGGTGTATCGAAACTCCCGTCTTGGAGAGTAAACTTGAGTATCAATTTAATTTTCATCTGTAACAGCGATCTTTAGTTATTCCTTATTATTATAATAATTATTGGTAATTATTTACAAGTAGGTCCACACTTGCAATTTTATTTTAATTAAAAAAAACAAATCAACTCTAATAAATTAATAAATATAATTTTTGAATTATAAATTCCAAGATAATTAGTTTTTTAATTAGAATAAAATTGCAAGTGTCAAACAACTAGGCCAGTGTCAATAATTGGGTCTTTTACTTTATTCATTTTTTTATGTATTTTTCAAAATAAATAAAAAATATCAATAAAATCACATTGAAATTTCATTTTAAAAAAAATGAAAATGGCGGAACCCACTTGTAAATAATGACCTAATAATTTTATTTTATTTAAAATTCACCAGCTTACGATTTCACGTTACTCTGTGTAGGCTGCACTTGGGGATGTATTGCATGTTATCAAGATGCCAGCCTTTAGACAAAGCACAAGGATAATGTGTAACATCCTTACAGCCTCGCTTAACACAACCAATATTAGCTCCAGTCATTCCGCAAGCGTTGCAAATAGACTTTGTCGCGTCCCAGACAGCTTCCTGGAGTCCAGTGACTCGTCCACCTTGAAGAAGCAAAGCCAAAATTATAATTTCTACTTCTCAAGGTGCATTAAAAAAAAAAAACAAATAAATACTCACCAGCTAGGTAAACTCCAGCAGCCCAGACAGCGCACTGCTCATGAAGCCAGACTTCCCAGCGCTGTTCATCGCCGGGAATAAGCGTCATCCCCGTGAACACTGCCGGGGTGATGGCTTCAACGGAATTTCTCTTCTTTTTTCCCATTTTAGCGGAAAACATATCCGCTAGACCAGCGTACCTTAAGCTACGTTTATTCTTCCCTCCTTTCTTTTGTTCAGTCGTTATTTCTTGCTCATCTGCAGACAGAATGCTCTCTTCAAGTCGCTCTTTCCCAATTAAATAAGGACCAAAGAGATCGCTGAGCACTCCCGCGGGTACCTTGACGAATAAAATAATGTTAATCCACCGTTAAACGGAAAATAAAACGATTTGTTACAAATTAAAATACTCTAAGTACCGTGTAAGTTCCAGGGGCTATATGGGGCCCGGCTAAATTAGGATGCGGCCGAGAAGGATCCCCAGGGACGACATAATGAGGTCCTTGTTTGCAAAAGACACATACCCACGTTGAGTCAGTAGTATGGGCGTCGTATCGCGATGATAGAGTCGAACTAAAGAGACCAGCTTTGCTTACTTTTCCTGTAATAAAAATAATTATTATTCATCACGTACCATTTCCACAAACTATTAAGACTAGCAACCTTGCAGTCACTATGTGACTGTTGTGAGTTGTGAACTATACATAAATAAAATTTTGCTTTATTAAATAATGATTTTTGTTAAATTGCACTGTATTTTCTTAACTATTGACATTTTTAAAGATATAAGCTCATCCTGATGTTATACTCGTCAAGAGCTTTCATTTGAGTACCCATATGCATTTTTATATATTTTCCATATATACATATATATAATATATATTTTAAAGATATAAGCTCATCCTGATGTTATACTCATCAAGAGCTTTCATTTGAGTACCCACATGCATTTTTGATATATTTTTCATATATATATATATATATATATATATATACATATTTATAATATATATAAATATATAAAATATATGAAAAATGGATGTAGGTACTCAAATGAAAGGTCTCGATGAGTGTAACATCGAGATCAGCTTATATCTTCAAAAATGTCAATAGTTTACAAGATACAAGGTCATTTCTTAATTATGTATCTGAAGATAGAACATTTTTACAAAATTTTTCTTAGTCTCTTCTTAATAACATAGATTACAAAATTAATAATACATACCACGATAATCAAGATCATTCTGATGACTCAGTCTCTTACTCCGTCCAACATTTCCATTTCCAACACTCTTCCGTTTCTCTTTGTTCTTCTCCTCTTCCTCTTCTCTCGGCGCATTAACAACCTGAACACTCAGAGGACTGTCTCTGGGGCCCTCGACATGAACCACAGGACCTCTAGATCTTATCGAGCTAGCATTGGACCCGGAATCATAAGCAATTTCTCTCAAACCATCAGGTCTCTTTTTCTTCCCCACCTCAAACTTTTTCTTCAATCCCTTCGATTGTTTCCTCCGTTTGGCATCTCTCAACCCAATATCCTCAACAACATGAGGCCCGAACATATTTTCCGGCGGAGCTCTCGAAGCTTTTCGTTTTTTCGCCCTCACTCTGCCCTTCTTTCCCTTCTTCGCCGGCGGTTTAGTTCCCACCGTAGAAGTAACATCCGTAGGATTAGTACTATTGAGAGTGTCTATACTCTCCGCTTTAATATCATCACCAGTCTCTTGTTTCAAAGGATCCAACTCTGCATTAGCGTCTATTTTAGTCGTCGTTGTCGTAGAACTAGTTGTTGTTGTTGTTGTTGTTGTTGTTGTTGCAGCAGTAGCCGTCGTCCCATCAACTTTCTGCTCCTTTTTTACATCAGTATCCGTCTCAACAATCCCAGCAAACATTTTTTCAAGCTCAGATTCAACCTCATTAAACTGTATCGCATTATTAACTCCCTTAGGACTGGTTATTTTCGAGAACTCACTAATATCATCGCTGGATTTTCTCCTAACTCGCTGATTATTCGTCGGCGCGGGATTAGTCGTCGAGGAAGAGCCTTCACTGCTGCTCCGCCTTCTCACAGGTTCATTCTCTTCAATCTTATTATCCTGATTAGCTTTTGTCACCGGATTTATTATTTCTTCATTCGTTTTAGCCTGCTCTAATCTCTTCTCTAATCTAACTTCATCTTTTTGTGGAGGGATTACTGGGACTGGGGGAGAAGTTGCCTCCTCAAGTTCTTCACGGACTGTCTCACATATCCTCGGTTCTCTAGGTTCCGTAGGCTCGAGCTCCATGTCTTCGACTTCCATTTTCGAGTCTTTGCTCAACCTTACAGGTTTCTCAAGCTTTCGTTTCCGTCGTTGCTTCATATTGTCATTAGAATCATCATTGCTGAACTCCGGAGACACAACATCTTCCTCTCTTGTCGGAGATTTAGATTTTTGCCTTTCTGGAGACATACTTTTTACACTGCAAGTGTCTTTAATTTCCTCAACTGGAGTTACAATAACAGATCCAATATTCTCGGTATTACCCAGTTTCTTGTTTCCACCTTCGAGTTTTTCCAGTAAGGAATCGACGCCTTTTTTACCCCTCTTAGGAAGATTCTTCGGAGATCTAACATTCATTTCATCAATTTTACGATCTCGCTCAGACGAAGGCTCGCGCTTTGGGCTGTCTGTCACGTCTTTATCTAACCTTGAAGTAAGATTTACTATAACAGGCAGTACACTGCGCGGCCCCTGTGCAATAACACTAAGCGAGTCTTTAACTTTAACTGGTTCAGTGTCTTTTTTATCCGGCAGTACTCTCTCGATAGTAACGCTAGGCGGTAAATTAATCATTTTCTGAGTAAAATTATCAACACCACCAGTCAGCTCCTTTATTTTATCATGAAGATTAGCCACGCCTTTGAGATTACTCTCAAAATTCTTAACAGTTATCTTGGGAGTGGTCAAAAGTTGGTCCTTGGTTGATAACGATAATGTTAAAGGATCTCCAAGGGAATTTGGCGTCGGTACGGAGGAACTTATCCCACTGTCAGATGACGTTTCACCGTTCAACGGAATTGGGGGTGATATAATATTACCATTACGGCTGCCTTTATCTACACTACGTGCAGTCAGACTTATAGGTATTTCCTGAGTCATTCTCGAGTAATTTTCTGCCATCTCAGACGTAGCTGATAAATCTAGAGTACTCTGAGAGCCAGGTGAGCTGCGATACTGATTTTGATTTTGTCTATTGTCAACAAGCATTTGTAAACTAAATAGCGGATTACCGGGCGCATTAGAAGTGACATTTTTTGAAGGCACCGTGGGTGTGTGCCACGTGGGTGGTGCCTGAGTGTGAGCCAGCTGGGGAGTCAATTGAGACGACAAGTGAGATGTTCTTGCCATTGACGGGTGGGTGTAAAATCCAGCTGGATTTAACGTCGCGCCTGACAACGCTGTTGGATGAAGATTAAGTCCAGAGCCTTGAGTCATTGTCAAGTGATTCCAGACTGCCTGTGGCGGTGGAGTGCCAACTGGCGGCCTACTGTGTCCGGGGTACTGTCCAGACATCGCGAAATCCTCCCAAATATTTTGTGATAACAGATTCAGACTTTTTCCCTGATTTTCTACTTGCTCGGCTTTTAAATCACAATCTACATCCAACTTCTTCGTAGGCCAGAAAGTTCCGCTCGACTCTTTGGAGCAGATTGTCGGTGAATATAAATCACACTTTTGTGTTTTTATTTTACTACTAGGTAATACAAAGTTTATTTCTTCTTTGGAATGGTATTTTTTAATAGGTGACAGTAATTCTTTAGCTTCACACTTAGATACTGAATTATCCTTCAAGTCTTTCTGACTTAATTTCGTCTTACAGTCTTCGAGGCAGAGATTGTTTTTAACCGAACGTACTGACAAGTCAACCGGCTGATTTTGTACTGTATTCTTCGGTGGTGTTAACTCAACAATCGGTTCAGCGAGTTCAATTGCCGTGTGTGAATCTTTGCTCGCCAAATACCACGTGTTTAATTCTTTAGGAATATTTATGGTATTTTTATTCAAGCTCCACGGTACGTATGCACTGTTGTATGCTAGAAGAGGGTTTTCTTGATGATCCCATTGAGAGTGAGTCGATGGAAGCGCCCACTGAGGAGCGTATTCCAATAATGATAGCCCTGGAACAATAGCAAACGTTTGAAAAAATTTCTTTTTAATTTCTAATAATTAAAATATAATTATTTTTTAATAATTACCATCATACGGGGCTATATTGTGATTCCAATAATTCAAACCATTCTGAGACACTAAATTAGGGTCTAAATTAGTCAGATTTAAATTAGGAATTTTCTGATAATTATTATTGATGCTGCTCAGCTGACAATCTATTTTTCCAATGTCAATTTCAGTGTCTGGTACCTTAATCCGAGTTGTTGGTCCTGAAAATACAAAAGAAAATAATTATTATTATTTTTATTATTGTTATATTTGTCATTACTATTTTAAATTTATACTGTAAAGTAATTTAGTGATGTAGACAATACAGCTGTTGTTTTAAGTGTACAATTACATAATACTAAACCCAGCAAAACAATTTTTAAAATAACCAGACTATATCAACAATTACCAACAAATTTTCATAATAAATAATCCAAGCAGATACTTCAAAAAAGGTTAAAACACTTGATATCACCATAGCCTAAATAACAATCTATTGATACTAAATATCAATAGTAACAAAAGTTTGAAATCAATTGATAAAATAGTAACAAAAGTTTGAAATCAATTGATAATAATCCCAGATAAAATCAACAATAAAGCATGTTTAAAGACATGATGAGTCTTTGGGAGTAAAAAGGTGCGGCGCAAGCAAACTTTAAAAGCCATTCGACCAAAACACAGCAATCTGTAGATCAAAGCCTTTTTCTATATTCGAATCCCCTTTAAATAAAATTCAATAATGGATCACAAACGAGAGATTTAAAACTAGGAATAACCATCCTAGGGATAAACAATGATAACTTGACTCCATTATTTTAGCAGGTAAATTAAATGGTTGACGTAGTGACGACAAACGTTTTGACAAATGATCCACAAAACAGAAAATAACACGACTGTTGGTGACGACGTGATCGAGACGCGTGCCGGCGTAAGTTGTGGCGGAGTAAAAGCATTAACCAGTAACCAGCAACAGCAGTAGCAGCATAAGCAGCACTACTCGTGTACCCTCTAGTGTAGGTAATTATTCGTTGAGCAAGGTAAACGACGCACCATAATAATCATTCCACCACAAACTAGTTAGATCTTAAAAGATAGTAAAATAAAATTAAAAAAATTCGGAGCTTTTATAAACACATCTAGGAGAAACAGGAAGCAAGTAACGCAGCACGTAGAAACAAAAGTTATTTATCAGCCACTTGTTTTGCCAGCCACTTCTCTTTTTACAAACTTATGTACAATACCAACCAGATAACTCGAAATGCAAACTATAAACTCACTGCAATAATAAATCCACCACTAAATATCTTTAGCTCCGTTAATTATTTATACTCTGTTTTGCGGTAACACGAAAAACGTGTAACTCTCGCGCGGATCTTCTCCCTCCCAACTGCGATATCAACGTGGGTTAATATATGTAGGTATAATACATTATAATATAACTAAAAAAAAAAAATAAAAAAACCAAGTGTTGTGTAAATTTGTCGGATGGAAAAACGTAGTTGTCGTCACGTTGATATCAATAACGTGTGTGTACGCACCTTTGCCGCGAAGCCCGCGACCGGGCGCCTTGATAATTTATGATTTTTCTTGACCAAAGAAAAATCTCGTCGGGGCATCAAGCAAATGCAGGACTCAACAATGGTGGCTGCTAGCCAGCCTTTGGGCAAGCCCGATGCTGACACCTCGTGGTGGCGGCGCAGAATAGTCGTCGTGGATCACGCCTTCTCTCTTTCTCTCTTGCACACGTCTCTTTTATTTTTTTCGTGCTTTTTTTATTTTTTTATTTTTTTTCCCTTTACCTGTACTTTTTTCTACATGTGTATATATACATATATATATTTATCTAATGTACGCACAAATTTTTTGTCAACTGACACTATATCTGATATATATTAGGTGGACATCTGCATCAAAATCGTCATCTGACCAGTGCCCAACTTTCCCGCGGCTTTATCAGAAAACAAATAAATAATCACTGAGTAAAGCCCGGACGTTTTTTTCGCATCGCCTGGCTAAAGTCGACTGGATACATATGAAACAAAAAATTAAATATTTAATCCATGATAATAAATTTAGCAGATATTTAATAATTTTTAGAATTTGTTTTAACAAATTATGGCAAAAAAAAAAAATATAATAAAAACTGACATGTAAAAATTTTTAAAAATTAAAAATGCAATTTTTTAAAAATAATTTTTTGGAGCAAATTTTTTTGTTAAAAAAATTAAAAAATTTTCTAGTGACTGCTAACTTTAATGCCATATTTAAATGATATTAAATTTAGCAGACATTTAATAATTTTTTTTTTTAACAAATTATGGCAAAAAAAAAAATATAATAAAAATTGACATGTAAAAATTGTAAAAAATTAAAAATGCAATTTTTTAAAAATAATTTTTTGGAGCAAATTTATTTGTTAAAAAATTTTCTAGTGACTGCTAACTTTAATGTCATATTTAATCCAGTACTTTTTTTTTCCTCCGAGCAAATAAAAATACAAAGACAACCAGCTGATAATAATTACAAGTCGGCTTACAATAAATTAAATATACGAACGGAGGATTTAATTATGATAAAATATGCTTACAGGTCAATCAACACGTGGACATACATGTTAGCATTCTATTGGAGAAATTTATAAAACACAAAAATGCGTTTACATGGAAGGGAAATGACGTTGTGCCATTATTGTTTTTTTATTTTTCCCCTACTTTATTCTTATTAAAAATAACCCAGGTTTAATATTTTAGCATGTAAGACATGAGATGCAATCCGTCAATCGGAAGTGGATTAGCGCTTGACTGGGAAACAGCTTTTCCTGTTTTCTTATTTTACCGCAACTTCAAATATTTTTCTAAAATACACTAGAATTATTCCAGCAAAGCCAATCAAATGTTTTGCTGATTAGATGTTACATGAACATGACAGCTAGTAACTGACCAGTAAAAAAACAATATAAAATAAAATAAGTATTTAAAAGTACTCAAATTACTCACCGTATTCTCTTGCCCATCCCAATGACGTATTCATTGTTTCTTTACCGCGCATTTTCGAAACGTTTTACGTTTTCGATCAGCATCACTTCGAACACCGTCATCTTCTCGACGAAACCCTGCATCCACCGGGTCTATTCACCCTTTAGTAAATGTCAATAGTTTTTTTTTAGCCGATCAATAAGGACACTGACAAATAAATTTTAAAACTACAGCTAGTACGCAGTAAACACACAAGTGAAAATAAAGTCTAGAATTTTCCACGGGCTTGCATGTAACCGCCCTTAAAAATAAATCATTAAATGTTCTTGTACACAAAGTTCACCTAAAATTATTTAATTTTAAGTAAATAATAAACAAAATGATAATTTACATTTATTTATAAATAATTTTTTATTTTTATTTGTTTATTTATTTGACGTACCTTTAACCAATAGTCGGGGAAAAATAAAAATAATAAATTACTTAAAGGAACACCTCTTAAGTAATTGAGAAAATTATTTAACCGATATCTTTTTGTTTATATACTATTATCTCAAAACGTAAACACACGTTGTTGTGACGCAATTCCACGAGGTAACCGTCGTCGTTATTTACTAGATCAACTGTCTTTTTCTTTTCTTTGTGTACGTTTATATTTGCACACTACTTATTAATAAACTCACACTACTTTCAAGAGCCGGCTGCATGTATATGAGTGACGTCACTCCTTGTTTAAATTTGACGTGAAGATGGCGCTAGGACCTGATATTAAAGCGCGCGAAATTTTGAATGTTCCTAAATAATTAAAAGTTTAATTAAAAAAAATGTTTATTATTATTATTTGGTAATTATTTTTTTAAAAAATTATTTACTTTAAATATTAAAAAAAAATAATTTTTTTTTTAATTAAAATTTTTTTATTTCTTCTGAAGAAATAAAAAATTTTTAATTAAACAATAATTATTAAATAATAATAATAATAATAATTTAATTTTTTTTAATAAAAAAATACCTGTAGAAAATATTTTGACAGATGCGCAGAGTGGATGCGCAGTAGTTTAAGTTGTTAGTAATTGGCAATGGCGGAAAGTGACATGACGTGAGTTGTGACACGATGCGGGCGGCTATGACTGATTTATTAAAAAAAGTGACCAAAATTTAGCAGTGTCAATCCATTAAAATGCCCCCTAATAATTATTTACAAAAAAGTGAATATTGTTAATTAAAAATCTAATAAAAATGGCTGCGTTTTTAGTTAAAACTATTAATTGTCATGTTACGTGTATACTACATAGTGTATTAAATAGTAACAAGGATAGAAGAGTTTCGGTAAATCGATGTCAGGTGTTTTGAGAGTCATTGCACACTAATTCTCTTGTATATACATTTATAAATAATATATAAAGAAGAACAATATTATTAAAATAACTAAAATGGGATTGTTGAGTTAATAATAAATTGTCGTGCCTAATTAATCACGACCTAAAATTAATTACCTGTCAAAAAACATATTCTAGTCTTATTTTTGACCAAGTCACTACATATAATTAATTAATGTATTTAATTAAAGTATTAACACTAATAGACTGAAGAAGAAGAAGAAGAAGAAGAAGAAGAAGAAGAAGAAGAAATAAAACTAGTCAATGTAATTGTAAGTGCTAATAAATATATTTAAAATTCAACTAAGGAATTGATTAAGTTTTTATAATCAATATCGGTGCTAATTATGCTGATTAAAAATTTTTGGCGACTTGCCACTACCTGACAAATTAAAGACAACTGTTTCAAGTAATTACTCTAAATAATAAGGTAGTATTTATCTTGTAGAATTAATAAATGAAGTAATTAAGAAGAGCATGGATCAGGACCGGAATGAGATGTCAAAAGGAGAGACGTCATCCCCGCGTACCAAGCAGAAGAAAAAATCCCTCTGTCAGATGCTAATGCACAAGAAGACCCGAGTCGGATGTATGGAGATGTCCTACAATAATAAAGAGACACATGACAGAGAATTGACGACCAACATGGGACTGTTAACCAGCAAGAATAAGATGGAAAATTCTCAGCACAGCTCGCATACCAGCACTAAATTATCTCTGTGCTGTGCCATGACCGAGAGAAGTAGAACTCCGCCGCAGAGTTTGTCAGCGAGCAGGCTGTCTCCCACACTCAGTCGCACGTCGGTAAAGTCTGAAGTTGCATCTTTAAATGGAAACTGTAGAACTAACGCTGTTGTAGAAAGCCAAGCTAATCATCAGCACGCGCATAATCATCATTATCATCATCATAATTACCAGGGGATTAGAACGTCACCGGCGCTTAAAAACAAGTGTTGTCATGACTACGCTTGCAAACCTAATACTGTTGCTAAGGAACAACGTCGTAGTGCTTATGCAGAAGGTAATAGTATTATTACTTTGATTTTTTATTTTTAGATCTATTATTTTATCAATTATTTAATGAAAATTAATTTTGTAGATATTTTATAATTTTAAGAATTTTTTTTAACAATTAATTATGTAGAAAAAAAAATTAACATTTAAAAAATAAAAAATGCAATTTTTTAGAAATAATTTTTTGGAGCAAATTTATTTATTAAAAAAATTAAAAAATGATCAAGTGACTGTTAACTTTAATGTCATTATTTAATGAAAATTAATTTAGCAGATATTTTATAATTTTAAGAATTTTTTTAACTAATAAATTATGTCATAGAAAATGAGAAAAAAAAATTGACATTTAGAAAATAAAAAATGCAATTTTTTAGAAATCATTTTTCGGAGCAAATTTATTTATTAAAAAATTATCGAGTGACTGCTAACTTTAATGTCATAATTATTTATGAAATTAAAGTTTGCAGTCATTTAAGAATTTTTCAATTTTATTTAACAAAAAAAAAAAAAAAAAAAAAAAAAT